AGATGCAAGGCTGGTATTGATAGTGCTACAAGATATAGTGTTTACTAACAGGTAAATTAAAATGAAAATAGTGACAAATGAAGAGTGCCTGTTGATTATTTTCATTGTACCTTTAGAACTTAGTAGACTTTATAATAATATAAACGTTGATATATTATTCATCCAGAATGTGTAGCCAATAGATTAAAAATAGAAAAAAATACATTATATATAGAGATGATAAATAATCTACAGACTTATTGAAAACGATGTGGACATATTATAATATCAATAATAGAGTTTCAAATCTAAATATTTATTTATATTTTCTATATTTTTTTATATATTTATCCATATATTTCAAAATATGATATAATAAGGTTGGTAATTGACTTTCAAATCTAGTGATAAATTTTTTCTGAAGTGCGCATTTTTTTCCCAATTCTTTTATTAACTCCTTGTCTCTGTTTGTCTGTACCAAATCTTGCAATCAATTTTTTAGTCACTTCCTAATGATAGGTTTTCTTAAATTTTGCAAACATACTCTTGCTTGATGACAATATTCAATAATTAGTTTTGCAATAAGTCAGTTGATATCAGAGTTGGTACCCAAAAACCCAAGAGCAAAAATCCAGCTTAATGGATTTTGTTCTTAAATTTTTTTATTTTTTATTTTTTTATTTATAAATTTCCATAAACACACAAGGTTTTGATGCTGCTTAACAATTGTTCTAATAACAACAAAATAAGAAGTTTAGTAAGTCATAAATAAGAAATTTATTTTACTTGGTGCAATAGTATTCAAACTGGAACATTTAAAATAAAGTTATCTAACAACTTAGTCATCAGCAGTTGTGCACCTTGATCTTAAATGTCTGTAAATTCGTACAAGCATTTTAGCTTTTACTCTTCCTAAATGATTCCTATTTTTGCTTCAAATAATGCTAAAAGATGAGAAAAATATTTCATTGGGTTCAGTACTACCTGGACAAGTGTGTAACTGTCCTAAAAATCTTGCAAAATTTGCAGGCAATTTGGAAGACTTAGATTCCTTCATTTCTATAATTCTCCACCAATTCGTTGCTGATGTTGTGCTTTTTACGCTATCGTTGAATAAATATATTGGAAAATAATTAGCATCTTTTAGTTTAAATGCATACTAGCCTGGCATAGATTCAACTTCATTCAACCATTTCTAAACTTCTTCTTCTTGACTTCTATCCAATGTTCTATAAATAATAATAATAAGTAAATAAGTGAAGTTAAAAAAGTAGTAAATTTAAATGAAAATTTTACATATGTTTTTATTTAAATTTGATCAGATGCAATTTTTTTTTTTTTTTTTTTACAAATGTTTAGTTAACTTCATATTTTGGATTTGTTAAATTGGCCTGAAAATGACATGAAATTATTGCTTTCCTAAACCTCTTTAAAATATCGCTTTGTTCAAAGCCAATTTTTCATTATGTATGAGGCTTTGCCAAATCTCAACTGCCTCAGACAAAGTTGTATCGTCTGCTTGCAACTACAACAAACTCAATAATTTAGTTAATAATTTTGTATTTAAAGTTAATGATGGCATGGTGCTAGAAATTAGTAGTTTTAATATACTTATTATAATTAAATTTAATACATCCAGTTACTAACTAATTTTATTAACCTTATCTAATGCAATACCAACAGTTTTCAGTTGTGCATATAGATTTATTGCCTCTCTCTGAAATGACAGATTTTCAGTGCATACTGCAAATACCTAAATATATATATATATATATATATATATATATATATATATATATATATATATATATATATATATATATATATATATATATATATATATATATATACATATATACATACATACATACATACATATATATACACATACCAGGGATTATCTTTTTCCAGATATTTCTGGAATTCCAGATATTTTTCTCAACTTTTAGTTTTTCCGGATATCAAAAATGTTTTCCATATATACAAGTTTAGGAATATATTTTTGTAATATATTTGTTTTTTAAGCTTTTTCACTCATTACTCATACAAAAATTAAGAAAAGTTGAAAAAAATTAAAAACAACTCAGCTAAAAGCAAAATTGAGAGGAATATAAGGGAAAATATATTCCAGATTTTTTCCAGATATTTTACCCTAATGATTTTCAGAATATTTAAAATATGACCTGGATGATTTATGACATACATACATACATACATACATACATACATACATACATACATACATACATACATACATACATACATACATACATACATACATACATACATACATACATACATACATACATATACACATTCATACATACATACATACATACATACATACATACATACATACATACATACATACATACATACATACATACATACATACATACATACAGTTTCTAGTATCATTTGCAGAAATGCGATAGGATTTATTTACATTATGGATACTATGAGCAATTATAGGATCATTACTGAATGTACTCCAACCATCTTGAATTACAGTAACAATCATCGGCAAGATCTTTATTTATCTTTACTAAGAGTTCTGAAGATATCTGTTTTCTATTTAGTGGCTCGTATCCAGGTCTAAGTTTTTTAAGCAGCTTGGTAAATTCAAGATTTTCTACCACATTGAGTGGTATATTTACTGAAAAGAAAAACCTTGCTACTTGCAAATCCAGTTCATCCTTTTGATTACTTGTTGTTGTGATAACAAATTTAGAAATGGATGTTTGCCATTGCATCATCATTGCAGTTGACTGAACAATTGATGAAATGAAAAGAATCACTAATAAAGTTTAAACAATCTTGCTCATTATCATCTGACTGGTTAGACTTGTTTAATGCTGCAGATGTAGATGGCCTTGACTATTAAACTGATATATCGCTTAATACATCAGCGGAATTATTAGCACTTATATTTTAAATTTAACTAAAAAGATCTATTTAAAAATAGCTTTATATTAGAAAAAAATGCAATCTGATTATTAGGCTATTGCATAAAAAATATACCTGTGCAAAGTAGGTTTTAAATAATTATAAATTAAAAAAATGTTACCAAAGTTACCAAAAGTTTGGTAACTTTGGTAAATCTTTATTAACAATACTAAAGATTTACCAAAGTTACCAAACTTTAGCAAAAACCCAAAAACCCACCCCAAAATCTAGTTGGGTTAGGTTTTTGCTCAAAAACCTGGGTTTTTGCCAACTCTGATTAATTTAGTTAATTTTAATTCAGTTTATTTTTTATATGGAAAGAATTTTTAAAATAAGTACAATATTTGTTGCCTACTTATAAGTGCGTTCAGCTTATTTGGATAAGTTGTTAATTTGATAAATGGAATGTCTATGGTTCGAGACCCGCCTTTTCCAGAATTTTTTTGTTTTTTTACACATGCAAACAGCCGAATGTTAATAAAAATAATAATATCAGAAAAAGTTGATTGCAAAATTTGTGTTTTAATAATATATAAAAGCATTGGGTTTTACAAATTCGTTTTTAATTTTACTTATTATTTTAAAGTTGGATGCATAGTTTTTTTTTTTTTTTGAGTTTATTCCACCAGAAGAGTTTGTTTTTCAGTTCCACGATTTTAAAAAGTTATAGGATTTGAAATTAAAAAATTTTAAATACACTTTTTTAAAGTTTTATTAAGTTTGGTAAATAGTTTTTAGTATTAGCAACTATTCAACTAAAATTTATAATAAAAGTAAATCTTAATACAAAGTGATTCATTGGACATTAAAGGGTTTTAGTAAAAAAAAAAAAAAATTGATCAAATGATTTTGTCCGCCATATGTCTAATATCCAAGTGGACTATAAAAATCAGCTATCCTTGTAAGCTTTTTAGTTTATTATGCGCATGATCCACTTTCTGGACACATAAATAACTAGGAAGTAAGTAATTTGTAGTAACATAAATGTTTGTAGTAACATTAATGATTAAAAAGTATGTATTTTTGTATGTAATACAATATTTGATATTATACTGTTCTGATTTTGAGGGACGCAGCAGTCAGATCAGGTAACTAATTTGCTCATGTTGCTTTTCCTCTGCCACAACATCCAATATCTTGCAAAAAGCACTAGAAAAATGCTTGCTGGTAATGTCCACCATTGATTCAGTCTTGTTGTTTGTTGTATAATATGCTGCCACTTTGCTTTCTCTCACAAAAAATAGTTTCCGACATCACTATCTTAATTTACAGTACTTTTGAAAATCTTTTTTTAACTCTTTTAAAAAATCTTTTTTGTTTATAACACAGCCTGCCCTTTAAAATTGCTAATAAACATTTTATTTCAAATTTTTCAATTTTTTAAATATTACTAATGTATATGATGTAGTAAAATAAAATTATATTTTGTTAGAGATAAGCGATGGATAATAAACAAGTATGACTGACCGTTGGGGGCTAGACACAGTTAAACATCTATACATTGACTGACAGTTAAGGATATGCACAGCAAAATGTACTTACTAACAGTTATCAAATAATAGTAAGTTTGTGAGAAGGCTGAATTGCCATTATTAAATTTTTAAAAGAGTTTTATCCTATAAAAGTCATTTATTTATTTTTTTAATAGTTATTTCAACACTGACAGAAACCAGTACTTTTTGTTGAGCAATGTAACGTTATAAAAAAAGATTTATAAAAAATAGTGCATGTTTTTTGTGATATTTTTTTCATTTTATTCAGTTCATCAACTTCAAACTAGAACACAATAAGTTGATTATACCTTGTTAAACTAAATATTAGTAAACTAAAACTGCAAATAGAAGTTTGATACATTGGTAGTTTGCTTATTTTATGCTAAATCGCAGTAAATTTTAGTTTATTTTGTTTGTCATAATACAAATAGTCCAATAAAGTCGTAATATCAATTTTTGAAAAAATGCCAGTTAGAATCTTGTCAAACCAATGCAGCGAATTGCTTACATTTGAAATATTTTTAACATACGTGTATCATTGTTGTTGTTTTTTTGGTGAGATTTTGATTAAATATTTTTAAGGGTACATTTCACTGTCAACAAGCTATAAGTTATGGAACCAAAATAGTTGGAGGTGTTTCACCTAACAAAGGCGGAAGTGTTCATCTTGGAAGACCAGTCTTCAATAGTGTAAAAGAGGTAATATTTTGTTTATGTTATATTACCTATTAATAATTTTTGCTATTTATTTTGGTTAATATTAAATAAGCTAAAATATAATAAAATATAAAATAATTCTTCTAGTATAATTCTATTGGTAATGTTTAATACTTTGTTTATTTTTTAAGTTGCCATTGTTTCTATTTTTGTTGTTATTGTTTCTATCCTTGTCGCTATTGTTTCTATCTTTAACACTATTGTTTCTATTAGAGGTGTACCAGATATTTTTGCCAGATATGCCGGATAGTGAACTTTTTTAAAGTTCTATAGTGTTTATGAAGGAAAAAAAAGTATTGCCAGTCTACAAGTATTCAAGACCTTACTTTGAAAATAGTAATTATAAAAACAAAAATTTGGCTATAAAAAATGATTTTTCTTTATACATTATTAATGCATATGCCTGTGTTACACCAGTTTTTTATTGAGTTTATTTTTTTAAATCTTGAACACTATTTAATGTAGAATGACAAAACTTGTTTTAACTTCATTAATACTTATAAAACCTGAGAAAAGTTCACTATCCAGTATATCCGGCAAAATTATCTAGTATACCTCTAGTTTCTATCCTTGTCACTATTGTTTCTATCCTTGTTGCTATTGTTCTTATACTTGTCACTATTGTTTCTATTCTTGTTGCTATTGTTTCTATCCTCTTCACTATTGTTTCTATCCTTGTCACTATTGTTTTTATCCTTGTCGCTATTGTTTCTATACTTGTCGCTATTGCTTCTATCCTCTTCACTATTGTTTCTATCCTTGTCACTATTGTTTCTATCCTCTTCACTATTGTTTCTATCCTTGTCGCTATTTTCTAGCAAAAATTTGAACATTAGTCTTTTCATATAAGGTAAAAAAAAATTTTATGAAAAGAAAAAAGTTTAAGTTTAAGCAAAAGTTGAAGAAGACTGGTACATATGACAGCCTGCCTCAGTATTTTTGTTTTTATTTAATCTGTTTAGAAGTACTCAGATGACAAAATTATTGACTATTATGAAAACTGCTCATTTTATAAATGTGCAGGATATGCACATTTATATAAATGTCAGATCAATATGTTTTCGAAAAAATGAAAATGTCAGAAAAAAGGTGTTTTAGAATTATTTCTACACAGGTTTTTCTACATATTTGTCAGCTAGGTACTAATATATAGGTTTTAAAAATTAGTAGAATAGTAAAAAAAAATTAAAAGAAAGTAAAGGAGCACATCTATCTAATTTGATTTTCATACTATTATTATATGTTTTAAAGTAAACAAAAAATAAAAATATCAAAAACTCAAGTAAAAATTAAACTTGATTATATTCAAGAAACAAATAGTTAAAAAAGAAAAGAACTTTTATATAAAAAAAAATTTTCATATATATATATTTTCAATTCTTTTTCTTTCCATTTTTTTTTCAAAACTAAATAGATATTACAAAAAAAAAGTGATATGTTTGTAATTTTGTACTTACGGGCCATCCAAGAAATTTTTTAAATCGCAGAGGCTAACTTAAAATTGACCATCCTGCCAGCACTTTTTCCTGTGCTGGCATTTATTTCAAACGGAGAAGACTGCATATAAGTTTCATATGCTCAGTGGTCTAACCCCTTTACCCCAGTTTGCAAACACATAATGTGGTAACCTTTTTTTTTTGCGCTGTTCAACCTTCATAACCTTAATAGGCTATGAAAGTGAGAGGCGTTAACCTTTTATGTGCGTACATAATATATATATATATATATATATATATATATATATATATATATATATATATATATATATATATATATATATATATATATATATATATATATGCGTACATAATATATGGATGGCCTCTTATGCTGTTTAAATTTTGTACACATTTTATTTGAAACTTATTTTATACCTTTTCTATACACTTAATATTGTTTACAACACTTTATATTGTTTGTAACACTTTATAAATAAGTTTGTACTCTTTACAACACTTTATAAATAATATTCCAGTGTTTGTTGGAGTGTCAAGTTAAATACAAAGTTTTTAAATATAAAATTTTTTAAAATTGTGTTACCTCTATTGAAAATATTAGAAGTATGCAGTTAATAAAATTATTAGAAGTATGCACTTCTTTACTTTAGTTGTTTTATTGTTTGCTAACTACTGCAACCAGCAGCAATTATTCTTTGTATGCTAATAACACCTCACCTAGAAGCAACAACCACTCCTAGTCTATTAGCATCTTATTTACCAACTACAGCTTGTTTATTTCTATCTGAGTTGTTTTCAGTACAAGTTGATACTAGATGCAAGTTGTCTAGACAAGTAGACATTGTTGTGTTATCTTTTTTTAGTTGAATTATTTATTGGAATAATTCAATTAAGTTATTCAATTAATCTATTGAAACTTTTTTATTTAAATACTTGTTTTTAGAATAAAATTTTTAGTATTGATTTTAAGCAGTTGCGTCACAGTGTTTTGATCAGATTGTTAGAAGAGGTTTAGGGTTTAATGTACGCCTATCTAAAACACAGGCCTAATATACGAGCGGCAAAACTTAAAAATTGGAGGCCGATTAGTAAAAATTTAAGTTGATTTATAAAAATATTTTAACAAATTACAGTTGTTATCTAACTTGCTAACTAAAGGCATACTTATTTTATATTTATTGAAGAGAAAATATTACAAAATTTCAATGTAACATCAAGCCTTCCCAGGAAAGGCGTGCGGTTTTTCATCTCGTACAACCACGAAAACATTTTTCAAGTTAGAGAACGTGATCACGGCCATTTGCGCAAGTTTTATTATATGCGTTGCTGAAAAATTGTTTTAAATTTAATTACTACATAAGAAATTAAAGTAAAATTAAATAGAAAACAATAATAATAGTTTAAGTAATTTGTGTGTTTTTTTTGTTTTTGTTTTTTCTTAGTGGTTATTATTATCGGCAACAAAATTCAGTAAGTCAAAGCAAAAAAAAAAAAAAAAAAAAAAAAAAAGGTTTTAGGCGTTAAAAAAGGATGACTTTCCTATATTTTATGTGTTTTTTCTTTTAAAGAGGAAAGAGAAAATATGTATCGCCATCTGTTTGTAAAATATATTTGTATAAATATAATGTAACAAGTTTATATCAAGAGTTAAATTATACTATCACGATTTGCAAACTCTGGTAAAATATTAGGTCTTTAAAAATTTTAGTTCATGCAAAGTTGTGTACTTTGTTTATAAGGAGCAAATTATTAAAAGTTTGCTAGCGAGAAAGTTACAAAAAAAAAAACAAAAAACAATAAACTTACAACTACAAAAGTAATAACGCTTTAGTGACTAACTGCATTATAAAAGTAATAAAACTATAATAGTGTTACATTTATAAAGCACTTATTACATTTATAAAGCACTTATTATTTTTAAAGTTCATTCTTTGTTCAAACAACATTATTAATTCCAAACATTTATTACAGTAAAAAAGCATCTAGAAAAAATAAAGTGGATGTTCAAATAATATTAAAAATTTCAGGAACTTTCACATATCACTTAAACAATGTTATAAAAAAGTATAGCATTATAAATAACGTTACATAAAAACACGCGTTAATTTTAAAATCAACCAATAAAATATTTTTATTGGTTAATTTAAAACTAACACGCGTTTTTACGGTCCATTAGTAACGTTTTTCATAATGCTAAACTTTTAATACGATATGTTTTTATAAAGTTGTTTGTCACGTTTTTATAAGTTATTTAAGTTTTATAAAAAACTTAAATAACTTATAAAAACATTTTTTTGGTTGTACAAGACAAAAATCGCACACCTTTCCTGGGAAGGCTTGTAACATAGTTTATTAAAAAGAGTTTTACATAAGTCAAAAAGCAAAAATAACAAAAGTTTTAATCACTCAGTTTTAAAACTTTTTGAGCTGGCTCCTTGTAAGTGCGTGGAGTGTTTAGCTTTGAACAATTATTTAAAAAAATATTTAACAAAGTTTTTACACACTTTTTATTATTAAAATAATAAATTTTATTATTATTAAAATAACCAAAAAAATATAAATTATCGATTGATTCAAAGTAGCAAGATAAGGAATGCAAACAAACTGGCTAAGTCAGATCCAGTGTAATAAAAAGTACATAACAAAAGAAAGTAAATTGACATAGAATGTGAGTTGACTGGGTCTTTAAGATAAGCACCATACTTGTTACAATATGAATATGTATCAATGTCAAGATCTTCATAACCAATCTTAAATTGAAGGTAACCAGCAATGCAAATGGAAGGTGGTGCGATTATATGTGACAATAATAAAGTCAATGTAAATTTTTTCTCTCTTTTTCAAACTTTTGAAGAGAAACCATGAGTGACTAAAAATAAAATATACTAAAGCCATTTTAACAGCATCAGTTAAAGTAGACTCTAATATTTTTAAATATTTCACTTTCCTTTTGTCTTAGTTGCCTCAGACAGTTTATGCAAGTATAACCAAAATGAAGCTTGTGAAAGTCTGAATCATATTGTAAAAGTAGTTTTGAGTGCTCAATTTTAGTTTTTTCTAAAACTTGTTGAATCAAAATAAAATAAGCACCAGCACCTTGACGCAACTTACTAAATGCTTTTTCAATAGTGTCAGATGTAAAGTTACCAAGTTTTAAAAATTCGTGAGATGTACTTAACAAATAATTTGTAAAAACTCAACTATTCCTTTTAAGGTATAGACTATTGCTTTAGATGTTTCAACAGTCAGTTTTTTAATTCTTTTTTTTTTTTTATTATGGCAAATTTTTTTTTTTTTATTTTTTTTATTTGCATTCACTCCCAACAAGGCTGCAAGCAACCACTATTAAGTTGGGAATTACTAGGAAAAAAAAAAGAACAGAGTTATAGAGCAAGGAAACGGTTGACAGAAGACTTGAAAAGTTGAAGGTTGTATAAGTCAGGAAAACATGAAGATGGGAGAGAGTTCCAAAGGATTAAAGTGCCGGGAAAAAAACTAGACGAATAAAAGTTTTTAGAGCATGCAGGGACAAATACAGTAAACGAATGAGACTTAGCTGAATGACGAGTAAAACGAGAATGAATTTTAGTTGATAGAACTAGAGATAATAACTCCTTTGAGCAGTGACCATGATAGTATTTGTAGAAAAGAGAAAGAGATGCAACTTTATGTTGATGGGAAAGAGGCTCAAGCTTAGCAGATAGTCCAGGTCCAACAACATTTACAATGCGTTTTTGGACCTTGTCTAGAAGAGAAAGTGAATCGTTAGAAGAACCAGCCCAAATATGACAACAGTATTTCATACAGGGACGAATAAGAGATTTGTAGAGGTAGAGAATGGAATCAGAAGTAAGGAAATGGCGAGCACGATAAAGAGAAGCAACCTTAGCAGAAGCTAATTTAGCAATCGATTGTATATATGGTTTCCATGAAAGGTCAGTAGTAAGCGATAATCCAAGAAGACGTAAAGAGGACGACTCAGTAAGAGGATTGCCATTCATTAATATAGGAATGTTGACCATATTACGGTAGTTGTTTGCAGTAAGCAATTGGGTTTTTTTAGAGTTGAAATTCACAAGCCACTGTGAACCCCAATCTATTACTGAAGTGAGATCAGATTCAAGATCAGATGCTTGTTCTAGGCGATCGAACAGAGAAGTCAAGACAGGAGTATAAAGTTGAGTCATCAGCAAAAAGAGCTACTTTAGATGAAAGGTTGTCAGGAAGATTGTTTATGTAGATAAGAAACAAAACAGGGCCCAGGATGGAACCTTGGGGAACCCCAGAAGTTACTGGAAATAAAGAAGAGTGTTAGCCTTCAAGGATGACTTTAATAAACCGGTCAGAAAGAAATGATTTGATAATCTCAAAAACTTTCCCAGAAACACCATATGAAGCAAGTTTATGGAGAAGACCAGCATGCCAAACTTTGTAGAAAGCTTTAGATATGTCGAGAGCAATAGCCCTAGCCTCACCGCCTCCATCTAATGCATGATAAAATCTTTCAGTTACAGCAGTTAGCAAGTCGGCCGTAGAGCGAGAGGATCGAAAACCGTATTGATTGTCTGACAGTAGTTTATTTGACTCAAGATGAGATATGAGGAATTTGTTGATCAAAGGCTCAAAGACCTTGCTAATAGCAGAAAGAAGACTGATCGGACGATAATTGGAGGGGTCAGAATTTCTCCAGAGTTTTTGAATATTGGAACCACAGATGCCATTTTCCAACAAGCAGGAAAACAAGACTCAGTCAAACACTTGTTAAATAGTTTAGAGAGAATTGAAGAAAGTTCTAGAGAACAGTTCTGCAAGACTGTGACAGGAATGTTGTCTGGACCACAAGCTGTAGACAAGTTTAATTGAGATATGACTTTAGCAACAGAAGCCGAAGTGATTTGAATGTCTAACAATGGGTCAACCTGTTTGACTGGAATGGAAGGAAGAGAATGTCCATAAGATTCAAGAGTGGAATTAGAAGAAAAGTTCTTGGCAAACAGTTCTGCCTTATCCCTGGGAGAGGTAACAAGATCAGTCCCATGAATGAGAGATGGAATGTTAGATCTACCCTTGTTAACAATGCTGTTGAAGATTTTCCAAAAGTCTTTAGAGCCTAACTTCTGCGATAAGATGCGAGATTTAGTGAACTGAGAATAATGGAGTTTAGCATCAGAAAGCACCTTTTTACATCGATTTCTTGCAATAATAAATAGCCGTTTGTTCTCAAGAGAGTTGTTCTTTTGAAAAAGATGAAAAAAATGGTTACGATTGGATATAGCAGCTGCACAAGAAGGAGAAAACCATGGAGTAGAGTGAAGCTTGACTTGAAATCGACGAGAAGGAATAAAAGCTTCCATTCCAGCCTGAATCCAGGAGGTTACGTAGGAGGCGCATTTGTCAGCTGAGAGAGAAAAAACATCAGCCCAAGGGCCATCACGAAGAAAATCACGAAAGGAATCCCAGTCAGCTTTAGGGTAGTAGTAGGTGGTGCGATGATAAGGTGAGCCCAAAAAAGAAGTACGAGAAGAAAGATTTATAGAGATCATTGCATGGTCAGAACCACCTAAGGGAGAAAAGGGAGAAACTGAACATAAGCTAGGGTCAGAGACAAGACATAAGTCAAGGAGTGAAGGTAAATGATTAGGGTTGTCAGGAAAACGAGTCACAAAGTTAACTATTTGAGTAAGAGATTGAGAAACGCAGAAGTTAAAGGCTTTAGTGCCAGCAGGATCAGTGGTGTTAGAGCCAAGCCATTCAGTGTGATGGGCATTAAAATCACCAACAACAACAATATTGGCAGAGGGGTAAAGAGAGAGCGCATGGTCAATTTGATCAGAGATAACATCTAAAAGAGTGCAATCATGGGAGAAGGAGAACGATAAAGAACAAAGAGAAAGGTGATAGAGTGAAGAGGTGCTAGGCGAAAGCACATAAAAGAATGGTCAAAGGATTCGAACCTGATTTCACGACAAATAGGGGAATTAATGCGTATGTATACCCCTAAACCTAGCATGTGACTATTGGAGTCTTTACGAATCAAAGGATAGTACCCATCAACACTAACATCTGAAGAAGGAATTGCAGAACTTAAATTTGTTTCACTGAGTGCAAGCAAGTCTGGTGAATTTTGCAGGAGGTAAGACTCAACTGATGGAAAGATGCTTCGTAGACCGCGAATATTTGTAAAAGATATATTAAAATATTTAGGTGGTGGGGATGGTTTTTTAGGTTTTAAATTTTTGTTTACTTTGGTCATGATTTGGGTTTAATGAGAACTTGGCTCATTCATAGTTAGAGTGCAGCCTCCTAATCAATGAGCTATGCAATTGTCTCAGTCCTGTTAATTAACCCTAAGCCGTGACATAGGGCTCCTTATGTGGCCTTGACAATGCACACCAAAAGCATTAACAGGGACACCATCCATGCGCAACATGGCACTGTTAATACTCTGATATTTTGCAGCTGTTGATGGAATCAGCCTCTCTGAGAGCTACCACAGAGTTCGGGAAACCTTACTACCAGCCGGCCTCAGAACCATTAAACTGAGTTTTAGAGCTGTACCCTCATATGGAGATAACAAGAAGAGTTGCATAGCCATTATCAAGGAGGCATAAGCAAAATTCTATGAGTAGAGTCAAGGAGATCCAGCATTCATCATCCTAGGCAGGAAACAATGTAACACAGGTTGCATCTACGCCAGCCTAATAGATGAAGAAGGGGCTCGAGGCTGATTAGCAGAACTTTTCTGCTTACCCCTAAAGTCTTTGCCTAGGAGGCCTTCTACAAGACAGTAGCAGGGTGCAGTTAACATCTGCCCAAGATGAGTATTTTTATCCATATCTTCACAGACTTGTGATAATGAAAGTAGTTGTTGCAGACAAAAATCATCTGGTGATCCGATGACAAAGCGCAATGGGTCTTATCACCTTTTATCATCACCCAGTTTGTGAAGATTAATAATTTTCCATGAATCTATAAACTTTTTTAGAAATACAACAGTTCCTTATTATTGGTTTGGTCTATTTTAGGATGTGTTGATAAAGTAGAAAGTGTTTCATCACAAAAAACTCTTAAACATAAAGAAATATTTTGTTTCTCAGCAGGTTTTGGAAGGATTGAAGCTGTATTTAAATGTGAAAGATTCACAAGTGTCCTACTTTCTAAGTTGTAATGGTTCTTAAGATCATCCCACCTTGCAATTAAATTATCATCATAGTCCTTAAACTGAATTTCTTGAGTAATTTCAGTAATCTAATTATTTCTTATGTTTTTCCATATATGAATATAATCGTAAAGTAAAAAAATGTTATTTTTAGTCAGCCATGGTTTCTCTTCAAAAGTTTCAAAGAGAGAGAAAAAAATTACATTGACTTTATTATTGTCACAATCACAACACATCTTCCATTTGCATTTGAAATTGATTCAAGTATAGAATCAACTATTTCAAACTGAAAATCTGAATAAAGACAACATACTGGAATCATCGTACTATAAGAGTGGGTCCACCAAAAAAACATTTAATCATAAAAGTTAATATTATTTTTGCTAATTTGTCTGGTTGATTAACAGATTTCCCAAAAAGTTCTCTATTGTGATAAGTTAATGAAGCTTTAACATATACTTCATCAACTATTAAAATGCACTGTCGTTGTCGGATAGTAAGTTTGCAAAAACATGCAAAATGAAATCATTATTGTTTAATTTTGAAGCGTTTGATTTCAATTTTTGTAGAGTAGACACTTTTATAAGCAAGTTAAAATGATTATCAGCTTCCTTTCAGGAAGCTGATAATTATTTTATCTTGCTCCACCAATTCTCAAGAAATATTTTTTCTTCTAATTTTAAGCAACGATATTAACCTTTAGCTAATTTTTCTGAATAAATTGGCCTCCAGTTATTTTTACGGTTTGCACGATTAACAGGTATGTGTTTTAGATAGCCGTGGTTTAATGATAATACTTAAAATGTTCAACTTTATATAAATGCATTTTTAATTCAGTTTAAACAAATTAAAAGCCTCATTATATTAGGCTAAAGAAAACACAAAATGTGATGCTAGCGTTATATATGTACCGCCACCTGGAGCAGCAGCTGCAATTATAGAAGCAATAGAAGCAGAAGTTGGATTAATTGTTTGCATAACAGAAGGAATTCCTCAGCAAGATATGGTGAAAGTAAGTGGTTAAAGGATTTCACTATTTTTCATTTGTATATTTTATATATTTATATTTTAGTATATATTTATTTAATGTTGTTCAGCCCTCATAATTAGATTCGGCATTCAGCAATGCTGACCTAACTGCTGACTTGAATGTTTGAGGTCGGCAACTTTTTGCCGACCTAGTTTCTTTGTTTTATGTAAAAACTTGTTACATATTTTTTCTGTCGACCTCTAAAAGATTGAGTTTGGCAATTTATTATTGCTGACCTCATTTTTTCCAATTCCATGGGTTGGTTGTTAGTGTAAAAAGTTTTCCTTATTAATTGCAACTTTGATTAACATATTTTATTAATGTCTATAAGTTTTTTAATTATGACTTTAAATATTTAAAAGGTTAAGCATGTCCTTGAACGTCAAAGTGTTAGTAGACTGTTAGGTCCAAACTGCCCTGGAATCATAAAGGTATTCTTTACAGCTTTAGTTCAGCTGTTTTATTTTTAAGCTTAATTAAATAATTTAACTTAGTATTTAAAATGATTAAGCTTTGTATCAAATTTATTTATATAAATTTTTATTATAAAAATAATGTATCATTTTAGCCTGGAGAATGTAAAATTGGAATTATGCCTGGACATATTCACAAACCTGGTTGCATTGGTAAAGAAGTATTTTTATTTTATGTTTATAGATCTTTATGTTTAAGAGTACTTAGCAGACTTAATAAGTACATGTAAATACTTATCTATGTATCGTCCTATGTACATTAGGGCATCCCATACTTTTCAACTTTGTCTAAAAAAGTCGGCCCTTATAATTTTTTTGCTATTAGGTATATACATTAAAGAAAGACATAAATAAATTTATTAGAATAAAGGCAACATTTTCAAAAATTGACCTTAAGTTTTCAAAAATTAACTCAAATGGGGAAGGGGACTAATATCATACTATGTCTAAGATTATCCTATATAGATGGTAAAAAAACTTAAAAAACTTATTTCAATAATGTCAGTAAATATAGAATAGTTTTAAAATATTTAGAGGTGTTCTTAAGCCCTCCTTCCTTCAACAACCTTCACAACCCACACCCCAACCCCTTATGTAAGTGTAAGTGGATTTATAAATGCTTACTTAAAATATGAGGGTTTTATTAGTTGAAAAACTTTTCAAAAAAATTAAACTCATTTTTCAATCTTTATAACTCTACAAGAGAAAGAATTGGCTAAAATTGAATGAGGTCCTTCTTGCTGTTAAAACGAGGCTTTATCAATCTATTTTCTGCTCTTGCGCAAATAAATCCATCTCGTCTCTCAAAACCAAACACTGTTTCAGAAGCTGCAGTTACCTAAATAAAATAAACTCTTTTTTAAAAGTATTTTTAATGCAGTAAATTATTTTTTTACATTTTTAACAACTAATATATTATGAGGTTAGGGAAAGTTGATTTTACCTCTTTAACTGCCCTCTCAACTCCTTGTGTATGAACAGGGAAATACGGAATTACCATAGGACAATCCAGGATATTTTTTAGCTCATTTCTGTTCATTTGACAGGTTAAGATGGGTTCATAGGCCTCTTCCCATGTTATTAACTCAATCTATTTGGTTGCACACAGGTTTAAATGAGGAAGCTTATATGTTCTAGGAGCTAGAGTTCCTGTTTCCTCATTTTTTCTAATTTCTAAAATTTTGTTTACAGCTAGTTTCCTTTCAATTTTATTCTGGCTGAAAAGTAATGTCTTTAATAAGATTTCAGAATGAGAATTCCATGCTGATGATCTCACATATTTTCCAATAACTTTTTAATCTTGAAGTTTGTTACGGTTAAGTTGGTTCAAGATGTGTCTTAGCCCTTCTATCCAGCTATGCTTCACTTTGATTTGGAACCACATAGGGAAGTACTGATACAACAAACTTAACAATTAATTCTAGGTTTCTTAAATTATCTCCCTTTAACCTATGCTTGCTAATCCACAACAAAATTAAGGAAGAGCCTGTATTGAGCTACCTTGAAAGAACTAGAGTGTCTGGTTTTTGGTTTGCCAAACCTTCAGTAAGAGTTCCTGAAATTACTCTGGCGTATTTTATAAACATACTTCTGATCTGAAGACAACTCCTTTAATATTTCCTCATCAAGTTCAATTAAACCAGGACCTATAGATATTGGCTTGAAACTGTAATTTCTTTCCGTTTCAGTAACCTTGAAAAGCAACTTACTAATTGGTCCAGAAAATCTTGTCTTTAAGGTTGTCTTCCCATCAAGCTCTGCTACTAAATACCGAAAACAAAGTTCGTTTGTGTGAAGAGTGCATATTAGCCACCTTAATTTTCTTTTTAATTTAACCTCTAAACAATGAATAACACCTCCATTATGGCCTGTATTTTTAGCTGTGCTATCACAACCAATGACCTTTAAGCTATGTTCAACACGATACTATATGTTTGGCAGATGCTATATGTTTGGCGATGTTCAACACAATGCTATATGTTTGGCAGGCTTAATTTTTGATTTTTCACATATTTCTTTGTTCGTAAAATGATGAAGATATCTACCATATTCATCAGTCAAAGGATAGTGATCTTCCTTTTTAATTAAAGGATAAAATTTTTTGGTTTCTTCATTAAATGTCATTAAATTGGTTTTGTCACTTCTTCCATCAAAGAGAATACAAGAAACATTCTCAGAATCTAATCTATTCTCTGCAAAAACCTGACACTCTGACATTTTATCTTTGGCTCTATGCACTTTGTTTTTGTCAAGTCATATAAAAAAAGCTGGTTCTGGAACAACTTTAGCTTCTACCATATTTTTTAAAAATCCTGAAGTAATTGCATCTTCAGCAGTGTTTGAAACTTCATATCTTATTGCAGCAATAGCAGTATTTTGAATATTCATATAGTTTCACTTTACTTTGAAATCATCACTTATGTTTAATAAATCAATATGTTCAGTGTAACTAGAACATTTAAACTCATTTTTAGAGCACTCTTATCTTCTTCATCATTACTTTTTTCTGAAACCTCAGCATAGGTTCTTTTGGAATGGCTACTATTGATCATCTCCTTTCCTTTGAACTTTTTCAAATTTCGTTCCTTCTTACTACATCGCTCAAATGCTTTTCGCGGCCTTTTAATCTCTATGTAGTCTTTTGATTCTATCATAATTTGAGACTGCTCTCCTTCTTTATTTCTCTGTGAGTGAATAAATTATAATTCTGTTATAGAAATCCTCACTGACTTTTCACATTTACAGTCAATATGAACTCTTTTTTCATATCCCAGACAACTTGATTCATTACAGAATAAAATTGCACATTTGCAGTTAGTTATATCAAAGAGTCGTGACAAAGACTTCATTATTTTGTCAATTTCTATTTTTTTGGTTAATCTTTTTCTGCAAATATCCTGAACATCGTTGTAAATTTTTTTGATCTTTCTGTCAATGGGCTTATCTGTAAAAATAACTGGATGTGAAAAGTCTGAGTTTGCTTTTTTCCATTGTTTAACAACTTCTAACTTTGTTTTCCTAACCAAATCATTTAATGGATATACTTTTTTTCCTGAGAACTCTTTAATGAGGAAAGCTTTTTGAAGAACAGCACCATAAGTTGGTAGTTCAGATGGAATAAAGGTTCTACCTTTTCATTAAGATAAAATTTTATCATATTATTATTATTATTATTAATATTATTATTGTTATTATTGCTATTATTATTATTATTATTATTATTATTATTATTATTATTATTGTTATTATTATTATATTAAGATATAAGATTAGGAACAAACAATTCATATTAATTTTAAATATATTAGATCATAATATTTAAAAAATAATATTTGTTTTCATTGTCAATGTTATTATTGATCAAATTTTTTAGAAAAAAAAATCATTCATGACTTAATATTTATATTATTATTAAAATAATATATTAAAAAAATATAAATAGTGTCAAAATAAAGCAATTAGGTTTTTAAAAATTGTATAACTATTAAGTCAGACATTGCTGTGGTAGTCTTTTTTCTTGTTTTTATACCACTCATTGTAAAATTTCTCTTTTACTTCAACTATATAGTATTGGTGGATTAAAGTTAATAAAAATATAAAAGCGAAATATGAAAAATATAATGCAAAAAATATTCTATGAAAAACTGTTGTAAATTGTAAAAAATTTAATTTTATCTAGAAGTTTATACAGTTTTTATTGCTTCCGCATAAAAATGTATTTACGCTTCAAGAAAATTTTAAGGTCAATAAAATATAGCAATAAATCAATTTTTGAAAATGAAGACCTATTAATAGCTGCTTTATTTTAACAGTTTCTAAATTTATATACTTTCTAGCAAAAAAATACCAAAGGCCAAGTGTTTATTATAAAAAAAGTTGTTTTTTGAAAAGTATGCCCTAATGTACATGCAATCCTTATTAAAATCAGTCAATATACATACAAAAAATAAAAATTGTATGTATAAATAGCCAATTGTGTATGCATACAATATGTGTAAATAGCCATATTCTTAATTTATTGTAAATTTATATATATATATATATATATATATATATATATATATATATATATATATATATATATATATATATATATATATATATATATATATATATATATATATATATATATATATATATATAATATCAGGCTTGGTGGGGAAGCGGGTGCGATCGCACTCGATATTTGACCACGGAAATTATATTTAGTTGCGAAAAGCCGGCCAGATTTTTTAGGCGTTTTGAGAACATTTCGAAAACAAGCAAAAAAGCGCAATAAGATAAACTGGACCGATGAGAGACAGTTAAAAAAAGCTAAATAGTGTTTAACGCGAAAAAACTTTAAGCAAAATAAATACGATTAGAGCAAATATTTTTAAAACGTGGCTCTTTTATAATTTTTTTTTTTAAAAAAAACGACATTTTTTGTATATAGTAACAACGTACTTATAATGATTGTTTAATTAAAAAAACAAATATTCTTCAATTTATCAAAGATTATATATAATTTTTATTTATATACTTATGTCTTATTTCCAGTGCTGGAAATAAGAAGTGTGGGGGGGGGGGGGTAGAAAAGCTATAGTCCCCGGGACACACAATGTTATGGGCCGAGAAATAGTCAAGAGGACCTATCAGTATTTTTAAGTCATTTTTACGCTTTCGCACATAAAAAAGGCCACCAAAATAATGCAGCCCCCGGCCCTGTAAAGTCCAACAAGATTAAACCAATAAAACTAACGCTCCATAATTTAATTATAAATAAAAAAAGTTTTTTCAGTACCTGTTTTATGCTTCGCGTAGTTTGAAAAGTTTAACATATTTGAAACTATTCTTCTTAGTAAGATGAACAAATGAAATAATTAAATTATTTAGTTACTGTGGAAATTTAATTAGCTAGATATAAATTAAAAAACTAAAAATGTTAAATTACTTTGTAAGGAGGAAGCGGAACTGCTTAACAATATCTCTAATGATGTTTAGTTAATGGGCTTTATATCTTTAACTAGTATTTTACAGAAAAAAGTAACTTTAAGTGTAAGTATAACGAGTTTGTAAGAATGGCTGAAGCAAAAATAATTAAAGTTAATAAACCAATTTCTAACACATTACATACATATAAATACATCCCTTATATATAAAAAATAAGATTATACTAATTAAATCTATAATATATTTACAAAACGTTGACCAGTTAAAAAATATAAATTTAAAACATTTATTTTTGTAAACAAATGTTAGTTTAAAACATTTATAGCTTTGTAAATGTGACTCCGAGAATAAGCCATTGTATTAAAATAGTTGTTCATTTGATAGTATATTCTTAAAACAATTGATGCTAGAAATCTCAACGAAAACATAACAAAACTCAAATTATACGATTTTGAAAAATAATTCAACAGAATACTCTAGAACATTCGCTTGAATTCTTTAGTAATTTCAGTTATTTATTAATTGAACCAATAGAATTAGTTGTTCGTAAACTTGGCGGGTTTTTTGTGTTCGCGAATATTCTTTATTTATTTTTCCGCACTAAGATGTTTGACAACATTCAAGTTTATATAAGTTTCCATGTACGTCCTTAAAACAAAATATTTTAAAATTTACGATAAAATAATAAATTTATTATTTTGCGGACAAACAAGGAAACATACATAAACTTAAATCTTCTCAAAACGTCTGAAAAATCTGGCCGGCTTTTCGCAAGTAAATATAATTTTCGTGGTCAATTATCGAGTGCGATCGCACCCGCTTCCCGACCAAGCCTGTATATATATATATATATATATATATATATATATATATATATATATATATATATATATATATATATATATATATATATATATATATATATATATATATATATATATATATATATATATATATATATATATATATATATATATGTATATATATGTATATATATATATATATATGTATATATATATATATATATATATATATATATATATATATATATATATATATATATATATATATATATATATATATATATACATATTTATATGTATTCATTTTAATTTAATAATAAGGCATTGTGTCCAGATCTGGAACATTAACATATGAAGCAGTTCATCAAACAAGTACTGTTGGACTTGGTCAATCTCTTTGTGTTGGTAAGGAATTTTCCGATTTAAAGAATTTAAAAAGCTTGAGAATTGTTGTAAACTTTGAAATGCAGTGTTATAATTTTTTTTTCTTGTGTCATATTAATCTCAATATATTTTTAACTTTTTGTCCTCACTAAAAGTACTTTTGTGTCTAAAATTTTTTACATGTTTATATAATTTTTTTTTTGTTAAAATCTAAGATTTTTTGTTTTGTTTTTCAAAGGCATTGGCGGTGACCCTTTCAATGGTACTAATTTCATTGATTGTTTAGAAGTATTTTTAAAAGATCCAGAGACAAAAGGTTTTATTTTTTATTAAAAATTTTAGCAGATTATTTAAATGATTAATTTTAAGGTTTGTTTAAAATGTAAAACATTTTAACAGTTTAATTTGTTTTAAATAAAGAACTGGTTTAAAAGTTTGGTTAAAAAATGTTTTTTTCAGTAATGATGATTGGTTTCATTAAGAGTAATAATAACACTGATTATAATTTAAATAATATAATTGGTTTCTTTAGGAATGATAATGATTGGTGAGATTGGTGGTGCAGCAGAGGAGAGAGCTGCTGAATATTTGCTCAAATACAATAGTGGACCAAATAAAAAACCAATTGTTGGATTTATTGCTGGACTTACTGCTCCACCTGGTCGTAGAATGGGTAAGTTTTATCCATTTTCATATTTTAAAAAAAATCAATATGTCTACAAGCAACCATTTTTGTTTGGGAGCTACTAAGAAATATTTGGAGTAGTTAAAGAGCAAAAAAACACTTTAAAACTCTGAGGGACAGGCTGGGGCCAGATAGAAAAATTAAAAATTTTATATTGTGTGCCAGGAAAACATAAAGATATTAGTTTATAGATCCTCTAGATAGTCATTAGAGGTCAGTGAAAGATAATCGAAGAAGATATACAGTAAAGATCTAAGAAAATTTGTTGTCTATAGGAACATCAACACACAGACATTTAATATTACAAGATAGTTAACAACTGAGTTTTGTTTAAGTTGTTATTCACTAGCCATTACACACCCAAGTTGTTGTCTTGGAAAGACAATATTCAAGATTAACTACCTGTTCTAAGCCATAAAATAGTTTTTATGGTTTTGCATATATAAAATGTCATCACATATACTAAAGTATGTATTTAAGCCATTAGCAAACAAATCAAGCTTAGAGGTAAGATCATCAGATCATCAATATAAGTGAAAAGCAAATAAGGAACATGTATAGAATCTTGTTTACCCCCCAGAAGTAGCTTGAAGTAAAGTGAGATGTAGTACATCATAAACAATTTAAATACTGTGGTTAGAAAAGAATGGTTTAATAGTTATTAAAAAACTTTTCCAGATACACTCTATAAGTGAATTAATGAAAAGCAGCATGTCAGACTTTCAAGAGCAATCTAGAAAACTGCTTCCAACAAAAGCACAGTATAACCTTTTTGTTATAACGATTTATAAATCAGCATTAGAACAAGAGAAATAAAATCTTTATTGAGTGTCAGAAAGTAAGTTGGTAAACTCAAAATAAAATATTAAAGTTTTGTTAATTGAAGACTCAAAAACCTTGATTATGAATAGGAAAATGACTGACTAGATGGCAGTTTTAAGGGTCAGAGTAACAGCACCTATGATCCTTATTTTGAAAACTTACAGTTTTTAAAATAATGATCATAGGTGCTGTTTTTAAAAAAAAATTCCAGTAGGCATAAACAGACTTTAAGCAAAGTTCAGTTCAAAGCATTTAAATATTTTAGTAAGTATTAATGAGGATTCTGGAGAATACTTTTGCGAGACATCATTTTATTAAAGAGGATTCTCAAGAATACTTTTGCGAGATATCATTTTGACAGAATTACGTTTTCTAGATCATAAATTGTACAAAAGTTTAAGTGTAATTTTTACAATGGAAGCTTAAGCGCTGAGAATATCTAATGATGGATGATAATTTTGTTTGTTTTTTTATGTCAGCAAGGGTATTCTCATTAAATTTAAGAGATAATTTAGAGGAAAAGTTAATTAAGAATAGTTTTTCCATGACATGTATTTTTTAGTGAAATTATAAAATATTTTCCAAAATTCTCTAGAGCATAACTTCTGAAATAAAATATAAGATTTATTAATATATTTTTGCATTTCTTTAACATAAATATGTAGTAAAAAAATATTTGATTTTTTTTTTTATAGGTCATGCAGGAGCAATCATTTCAGGTGGTAAAGGTGGTGCTGAAGATAAGGTTGAGTATAAATGTTGATTTTTAAGAAATTTTTTTCTTTAAACGTTTCATATATTTAAAACATTAATTATTAAAATATTTTTTATATAATTATTTTATATTTGTTTATATATATATATATATATATATATATATATATATATATATATATATATATATATATATATATATATATATATATATATATATATATATATATATATATATATATATGATATATATATATTTATGATATATATATATTTATGACATATATATATATATATATATATATATATATATATATATATATATATATATATATATGATATATATTTATATATATATATATATATATATATATATACACATATATATATATATATATATATATATATATATATATATATATATATATATATACATATATATATATATATATATACATATATATATATATATATATATATATATATATATATATATATATATATATATATATATATATATATATATATATATATATATATATATATATATATGTCATAAATATATATATATCATAAATATATATATATCATATATATATATTTATGATATATATACCATACATATATATATATGGTATATATATATGTATGGTATATATATATGTATGGTATATATATATGTATGGTATATATATATGTATGGTATATATATATGTATGATATATATATATAGAATATCGAGCACTCTATTTGTAGAAAACAACTAACATAGTTTACATGTTACATCGTGTTTATGTTTTTACCAAAAAACAAATGATAATGTAATAATATTTGTTTAAAAAAAAAAGTATTGAAAAAAATCTATATTATCAAAAACTTGTAAGAATGCATCTTTTTTAACTTATACATAAAAAACCTTATTTTTTAATGTAATAAAATCGAAAACAATAATTTTTCTTTTTTCTTAAACTATTTTATGCCCAGCCTTGTGTTAATTGAACCTTCAACCAAATAATAAAAGTATTTTGAAACTAAACATTTGATTTGAATGCAGTCATTATTAAAATTTAGTTTTTCAAATTATTTATTTTACTCGAGTTTTTCATATCTTACTGAACGTTTAGATCAAAGCTTTAGAGGAAGCCGGAGTAACTGTTACCAGATCTCCTGCCCAAATGGGTACTACTTTGAGAACGGTAAGTAATTTGAAGAGATCAATTTAGTACTGAGGAAACTTTCACGGTTTTATATATGATATTTTCTTTGTCGTTAATTTTATTTAAATATATATTTAAAATTTTAGGTATTTGACGATCACTACATTGGTTCTTCTACTCATGTCAACTAGTTTGTTTTAAATATAACTCAATTAAATTTACATTGTTTCGTGTAAAATTACTTACAGCTCACTTAATAATTTTAACTTGTTTAAATTACATCCCCGCCTAAATTAACAAAAAAATATTAAAATGTTAAAAATATTAATAGAATATTTAAAGTATAATAAATATTAGTTGATTATAAATGGTTAATCAATAGTTAAAGAATGACCTGATTTAACTTCCCAATTTTTTATATTCAATGTATTATTTAATTTAAATGAGTAATTATCGTTAAATTATTAATATTCAATAAATTATTCTCTATTGATATTAGAACAATGTAATAAAATAAAAATTTCTCAATTTTCTATCAGATATAAAACTCAGGTTTTGCTAACAATGCTCTGTGATAAGATCGTAGGGGCTTCTTGGGGCACCTAAATAAAATAAAAAAAAATCATTTGGAAAAAATGAGAAATGTTGAGAACTTGGATTGTCTTTTTTTGCAATATATTAGTTCTGGATAGAATGTTTTGTTTTGTATTGTGATCAATATGTCCGAAGTAATCATGGATATTTTTTGGTAATAAATTATTTTTTAATTTAAATATAAACTGAATGAAACTACAACATTTTGTTTGTAAGTATTAAAAACTCTCATGTTTCTCATTATTTGCTTTATTATTAGCATATCTATTGGCATTTTTTACGGCATGCTTGCTTTTATTTTTTATAGATTGGTAAATACTGTTAACCAGGCAGCATTGCAGTAGTTAATGTAGCTATGAACAAATGCAAAGTATAAACTTTGAGATATTTTAAAATTATTTATTTAGTTAAGTGCATAATCCCAATGCTTTTAGATATTTTATTTTCTTAAAACCTAATGTGCACTTTCCAGCTATTATGTTCAACGAACATTAGAAACATCAGAGGAAAATGCTTTTTTTAATTTAATTTCGTCAACTATAATATCTAAAAGTTTTAATGGTAATGTATCTGACTTAAATAAGAAAAGCTTGTTGAATTTCAACTCATCGCTTAACTTTTCGATTTACTCTGTGGAAAATAGTATTAATATTTGAATGGGTGTTGAAATCTTCAGTGTCATCTACAAAAAGACTTTGATTATAGATAAGAAAAAAAAAAAGAAATGTCATTGATATAGATAAGAAAAAGTGAAGGAGCTAAAATGGATCCCTGGGAAACCCACGTAATAATTTAAAGAAGGTGTAAGCTTTGTTGTTGTATAAGGTTCTCGGTGTAGTTAAGGCGATTTTAAAATATTACAACGTCTGTATGATATTTTGCTGACCATGATACATTTCCATTAAACAATCAGGACTCTGGATTATTCCTAGACGAAAAAAATAAAACGATAGAATTTTTAAATTTTGCCGTAACATAAAATAAAAATGCTTGTGGCCAATAAACTCAGACCAGAGATCCTTTTTTTTAAATATATATTTTTAATCTCCTAAAAAGCACGATTGCTTGTCCAGATTTTACATAAATGCGTTATTTAGTCAAAATGAACATCAAGGTTTAATAATATGATTTATTATGCTCCTATACTGGCATTTTTTTGTAATTAGGGGAAAACGAGTAGCTCCGGACACTTAAGGAATAAGTAGTATGTTGCTTAAACACTAACTAAAAACATAATTTTTATGAAAGTAGAAACATCTATTTATCGAATTAAAAGCAAAAATAGTTACAAAGCGCTTTAGTACAACACAAAACAGAAAAGAAAAAATCTTAGAAAACGGGCATCTGAAAAAATTGGAGGGTAGCCCCGGACATATATAACAGGAGTTTGCTTCTTTTGAAATCATTAGACGCATACTTAATACATTATTTAACTAGCAATTTACCACGGACATTTCAGTTATAATAATTAGAAGCATGATCAAAACAACTTTTGTGTGACTATTTCTACAGGTTTTTGGATCTTTTTGAAATTCAGAGTTAATGTCATCTAAGCCTGTCCAAAATTATAGGACCTTGATAACTTAGGCTTTTTTTGGAAATTCTTGATACATTTTAAAAAAATAGTCTATTCAATGATGAAAAGGAATGGGATTGAAATAAGTATTTTAAAACAACATCATTTAGAACTAATTTACTTTATTCGAAACACATCGGAACTACAAGTATTTTTATTGGAAATTAAAATAAAATAACATATTATATTTTGTTAAAACACTGATAAAAAAAAATCAAAATAAACGAAATAAATTTCCCCGATAAACACTTTAAATAAGTTATCTTTTAACACCATACAAACATACAAACCATAATAGTCAGAGGTAGGATTTACCTTTATACAACTTTCATGTGCCCAATCTTTACATACAAAGCACTGAACCTAGTCCTCATCAAAATTTTCTTCATCAATATTATACATTTGGTTTTGTTTTCAGGACTTTTAAACAAACGAGTAGCATATATATATATTTTTTTTCAATATATTTTTCTACTTAACACCCCTCTCAAACTTTTTTATTTGCATTTTTGGCATTGTAAACTAATAAAATGAAATCTATAAACAAAACTTATTTACAATTTATTAACTGCAGTATATATTAATTTAACCTTTAGACTTTTATAAGTAATTACATAATATTTATTTTGTTAAATAATGACATATGTATATATATATATATATATATATATATATATATATATATATATATATATATATATAATAAAATAAACAAGAGTGTAAAACAACATTGAAAATAATAATCTTTTCCATAAATTCAAACGATAAATAAGGAGATTTCACATTAATTTGCAAACGAAGAAAGCAACCATATACAACATTTAAAAGTTAGTTCTATATAAGGTAATAATGATAATTTGTAATAAAAATTAATTTGTTATATAAGAAATTATTGTTTGATTTTTGTCAATAATGAAAAGGTGCTTTTTAACATAAATGATGAAAAAACTGCATTAATTGCAAAAATTTCAATTTATAAATGAGATACCCTGCATTACTCTGATATTACTCTGCAAATGTGTGTCCGGTATCGCCTGACAATACCTCATATCAAAATATCATTTTTAAAACCATTCATATTTGTATTAAACAAAACTATTTTTTTACAAATATTGCAAACTATATTTTTTTCATAAATAAAAAGTTTAGTGTGGACAAAAAAGTTTGATACGATAATAAATTATTCAAGTATGATACACTGTTTTCCTGATGCTAGCGAACATTATTTGGCTTTGTCGTCCGTTCGCTTTCGAATATTGGAGCAGATATTTAGCATATGCCTTAAAATCACTAAAAACATGTTCTCATGGCACTCAACACCGAACAGCTTCTTTAGTTTTAGCTGTACAACAAGTGTCAGGGGCACACGCACACAAGTGTTTAATATATAGAACAAAATTGTCACGACCCTCTATTTCCTACCGGGGTAACAAAATAATATTCGAAATTATAGAACTAAATTACAATAAATTTTAGCATTAATTCTGCCACCTTAAAGAAAAAAAATTAACACCTCATAATTAATATCAACAATTTTACCAACATGTATTAAACTTAACAACAAGATTTATACTAAAATATTTTTTGTGCATCACTGACTGTTTATTATTTAACCACTTTTGACTATATATAAAAATTAATTAGATTTTATTTAACCAATTAAAGAAGTACTCGGTAAGGGGTCGTCCATAAAGTACGTACGCCAATAATTATTTATTCTATTGGTATCAATTTTTAATATGGTTTTAAAAAGTATCAAAAAATTAATCTCCGAAATGCTTGAAAAGCAAAAAAACGGTATCCTTGACGAAACTAGAAAGCTTTTAAAAGACCACGAGAAAATTTTTGCTTCTATAACAAGTGCAAACATGAAAATTATTACTGAAAGACTTGATAAAAACGATAAGGAAAATATTTCAAACTCAAATAAAATAATCAATATTACGAAAGAGCTTGAAATAACAAACAAAAACGTTACGCTGTTGTTAACAGGATGCAGTGAAATACAGAAATTCATTCATACAAACGATGAAATTGTCTCAGGTAAGCTAAAACTAGTAAAGAGAAAAACAAAAGAAATTAATATCAATATAAAAAATAATAGTGAAGTTGAAAAAATAAATAGTAAGCTTAGGGAAATTGAAGACCGATCAAGGAGAAATAATTTGAGAGTTGATGGATTAAAAGAAAGTGAGAATGAAAACTGGAATGAAAGTAAATTCAAAGTGCAAAAGCTTTTTGAAGATACACTTGGATTAAAAAACGTTAAAATTAAACGAGCCCATTGGACGGGGATTAGAGACCCTCCAAAGACTCGATCAATTGTAATAAAATTATTTGATTATTAAGACAAAGTTGCTATTCTAAAAAATTCCCCAAGATTAAAAGGAAAAAACATCTACATAAATGAAGATTACTGCGCGGAAACGATATTAACAAGAAAAGGTCTGAGAGAGCGACAGAGAAAGGAACGAGAGCTTGGAAAATTCGCAATAATATCTTACGATAAGCTAATTGTTCGTGAGTGAGTTTTTTATCTGAACTTTAGTTTTTTAAAAAGGAAACTAATTTATTATCTAGGATTAACTCCGATAATAATACTTTTAATATTATAACAAAATTTGATAATAATGAAAAATATAAGCCCCTATTACTATAGTTCAGATATTTCAAACATTACAGCTGACTTAGGTTCAAACGCATTATCCATACTTCACCTTAATATTAGAGGCATCCAAAAAAATTTTTGAGAATTTTAAACTGTTTCTTTTAAGCGTTAAAATGAGTATTCAAATTACATGCCTTACAGAAACATGGTGTCAAGATAAGGAAATTGAAAACAATTCTAATTTTCAACTTAATAGTTATAAATCACTTCATCAAATTAGAGACTCTGAAAAAGCAGGTGGTGGTTGTGCGTTTTTGTTCACAACTCTTTAGATTTTAAGCTGCGCAAAGAATATTCTGTTATGACGCATGATTTGGAATTATTATTAATGGACCGTTCCCTCTACAGAAAAAAACCGCAGTACATTTTGGTTTTTGTATTCA